CCCAAATGAAAGTTTTTGAGATGTGCTGGAGTTGACTTTACACTGCCTGGCCAAAAAATAAGAGTTGCACACTCTAATATTTTGTTGGATCACCTTTAGCTTTGATTATATTGTGCATTTGTTGTACCATTGTTTTGACTACATCGTGCAGCATCACAACATTTATTTCCATCAAGAGTTGCATTAATTTTGGGCCGAGATCTTGTATTGACAATGGGAGAGTTGAACCACTCTGTAAAGTTGACTCCAGCACATCCTCAAGACATTCAATAGGGTTAAACTCGGGTCAAACGAATTGTTGCAAATCATATAACATGCCAGAAACATGTTAATTACCGCAATAATGATCCAGTCCTAGACTCTTCAGTATTTGCTTATTTAAATCCAAATGGCGACTTAATTTTTGGCCAGGGGGAGATCGGGGAGTGTTGTAACATGGGTTAGATGTAACACTGCCAGTTTGCCAAGTCAGAAAAGAGCTTGTGATGTCATCAATATTGTACTCTCCCATCTCCTATTTGAGCTGAAGTGGCATATGACTGTAAGCAACATTGTAGATTTTATGACCAAAACAACTGATTTTCAGATAAGTAAAATTTTTTTAATCAAGATTGTTTTTCTTTTTTGCCTAGCTTTCATTGTATTGTAGATACAATTATTTGACATGCATAACTTAAAGTAGCCATACATATTGGCTCCTTGCCAGCCTGAGTCAAATGAACCCAACCCCAAGCTTCTATGACATTCTGATCTGTTAAGTTGGATCATAGTTTCTATGGCATGTAAATCCGCACCTACCCTACATACACAGTACATACCACACCACCTTACTTGTTATCCAAATTTAAAGGGATACTCCACCCCAAAATGAAAATTTTGTCATTAATCTCTTACCCCCATGTCGTTCCAAACCCATAAAAGCTTCGGGTTGTCGGCTACGGAACACAATTTAAGATATTTTGGATGAAAACCAGGAGGCTTGCGACTGTCCGATTGACTGCCAAGTAAATTACATTGTCAAGTCCCAGAAAAGTATGAAAGACGTTGTCAAAATAGTCCATCTGCCATCAGTGGTTCAATCTGAATTTCATGATGCGACGAGAATACATTTTGTATGCAAAGAAAACAAAAATAACGACTTTATTCAACAATTCGTCTCCTCCGCGTCACAGTAGCGCCATTTTGGAGAGTATCCAATGAACGCACATTTTGTATACTGTTCTACTTGTCTGTGTCAGCCGCACCACACGGATACACTGTTTTCGTTCAAATCAAAGCACCGTGTGGTGCGGCTGACACAGACAAGTAGAACAGTATATGCAGTTTACGGGACAGTCACAAGCCTCCCGGTTTTCATCCAAAATATCTCAAATTGTGTTCCGAAGACGAACAAAGCACAATTCTAACCAAACATGCATTCAACACTTTTTTTTTTTTTATTTTTTTTTTTTTTTGAACAAATATGCTTCAATTACAACATAGGCTGTAAAGATCCTTTACTCCAGGAAAGGAGAGGTGTGATAATGAGGAGTAGGTGCAGGGGTTTCAGAATTCAGGTGATATTGATTGTTGTGGAGTGTGAAGGGCCCTGACATGCTGGACAATCAGGGTGTGATTCATGGAAAGAGGTAAGAAGAGCACGACCCATGATCATTCCTCTGGTTCATATCATTCCCAGTCTACCAGGTATTCTAAACAAATATGCTTCAATTACAACATAGGCTGTAAAGATCCTTTACTCCAGGAAAGGAGAGGTGTGATAATGAGGAGTAGGTGCAGGGGTTTCAGAATTCAGGTGATATTGATTGTTGTGGAGTGTGAAGGGCCCTGACATGCTGGACAATCAGGGTGTGATTCATGGAAAGAGGTAAGAAGAGCACGACCCATGATCATTCCTCTGGTTCATATCATTCCCAGTCTACCAGGTATTCTAGACGACCACCACGGCGTCAGGAATCCAAGCTCTCACGGTTGGAGACAGCTCCATCTTCCAGGATGAGCGGTGGGGGGTCCTCCATGGGACCAGGCTCTGTGGAAGAGTCAGACACAGGAGGGTGATAAAGGTTTTAAAAGTTTAAGTAATGTGTGGGTAACCCAGGAGATGAATTGTTGTCCATGATTGGAAATGATGTCCTCTGGGAGGCCAAAATTACAGAAAACACAATTAAACATCAGCTCACCAGTTTCCATGGCAGTGGGGAGTCCGTTGAGGGGAATTAAAAGACAGGCTTTGTAATATCTATCTACTAGGATGCAGGTATAACCATCTGAGGGAGGCAGATTGGTAATGAAAGTCCTCTCCTAGGTGTGACCAGGGGCGCTGAGGAACAGGCAACAGGAGGTGGGCCAGTGCCCACATCTGTGAACAGATCCGATCGGAGGGATGCATTGAGTTCTGGGAACATAGGTATGACCTGAGGGACACTCCGGCGGAGTGTATTCAGAGGCATTGGCTTCAGGGATTTGCTCTTCAAGGGACTACTGAATAGGACATACGGTGAGACTGGGTGGGATGACTGGATCAGGCTTCTTGGGAGGCTCATCGGAGGCATGGAGACAGAAAAAAGTGATTTAACATGTTTTGGATCAAGGAAGGTAGGTAATTGAGATGATGAATCGGGCCTATCTTGTCTTGCCGTGGATTCAGTCTCATGGCTTTTGTGAGGATACTCAAGGTTCTTATGGACTTTGAGTGTGGTAAATGAATGTTGGGCTCCCTCCAGCCAATGCCTCCATTCCTCCAGGGCCAGTTTAATGGCTAGAAGCTGTCTGTTCCTTATGTTATAATTTTTCTCTACCAGGGTGAGCTTTTTAGAGAAGGCGGCACATTGATGAAGTTTTGGTGATGTCCCTTGCTGCGGTCACAGGATCACTCCAACTCCTGTCGTAGAGGCATCAACCACAAAGGGTTTCTTGGGGTCTGGATGAATTAGGAGGGAAATGCTTCTTTGGAAATGCTCATGGCTTGGGCAGCAGCTAGAGTCCAGGACAGAGTCTTGCGCCTGACTTTGAGGACATTGGTAAGTGGATGAGTAATGGAACTGAAGTTATGGATGAAGCGTCCATAGAAATTGTCAAAACCAAGGAAACCTTGTGAGCAGGCCACTTGCGGACTGCAGCAACCTTCACCGTGTCCATCCGATTGCCATCTTGTGAAGGTGTGCTGGATCAAGCAAACATGCAAAACGTGCAGTGTTGGGGTACTCCAGGAATCTGGTTGTGATCTCTAGATTACCCAACAGTTCTTTTGTTCAGTAGGTTCTGGTTTTATCTTAGTGGATAGAGATAAGAAGAATCTGCATCTGGTGGACAGAGGGACAGATATTTTTTAAAACTAGCACAGGAACACTTCAGGTTGTGAGGTTCAGCAAAGATGCACCCCCAGTAATGTTTTTTACATGGTTGTACATTGAACCATATTTTCTGAACGAGACCAACTGCTGTATCTGGCGACAGCACATTCAAATTTCTAATTAAGTGCACGGCGGCAGGTCAGATCAGGGATGATGCTGGCTAGTGTCCTTCCCAGTTTTGTGAATTGTTTTAACAGCAGATTTAAAAATTATGTTGCACTTTTGAAAAAGTCAAAACTTTTTAAAATACCTGGCCACATAGCTGGATGCAAAATCCGTTTGTTCTTTAGATGTTTTTTGTTTTTGGTAAAAATTCTGAACTTGACAAGTTAAGTTATAGTAGGTTATTTATAACTAGCTGCTTATGAAACGATAGAAATCAATGAAATGTCCCCATTTAGCTACCGTGTCCATCCGATTGCCATCTTGTGAAGGTGTGCTGGATCAAGCAAACATGCAAAACGTGCAGTGTTGGGGTACTCCAGGAATCTGGTTGTGATCTCTAGATTACCCAACGGTTCTTTTGTTCAGTAGGTTCTGGTTTTATCTTAGTGGATAGAGATAAGAAGGATCTGCATCTGGTGGACAGAGGGACAGATATTTTTTAAAACTAGCACAGGAACACTTCAGGTTGTGAGGTTCAGCAAAGATGCACCCCCAGTAATGTTTTTTACATGGTTGTACATTGAACCATATTTTCTGAACGAGACCAACTGCTGTATCTGGCGACAGCACATCCAAATTTCTAATTAAGTGCACGGCGGCAGGTCAGATCAGGGATGATGCTGGCTAGTGTCCTTCCCAGTTTTGTGAATTGTTTTAACAGCAGATTTAAAAATTATGTTGCACTTTTGAAAAAGTCAAAACTTTTTAAAATACCTGGCCACATAGCTGGATGCAAAATCCGTTTGTTCTTTAGATGTTTTTTGTTTTTGGTAAAAATTCTGAACTTGACAAGTTAAGTTATAGTAGGTTATTTATAACTAGCTGCTTATGAAACGATAGAAATCAATGAAATGTCCCCATTTAGCTAGATAATTGAGTGAGAAATTTGTTTGGAAAAGCATGGAAATGGAATTTTATCCAGCTGTTAGTTTAATGTGCTTGGTGGATTTTGTTTATTTTGATGTACTGAATTGTGTCAAATAAGAGACAAAATGTGCAGTGCTGTGTGTAATCAGAACCAAGATCGTAAACCACTGCTATAAGAGGTAACACTTTAAAAGTTTGCTTCGCAAGTTGACGTATAGTAAATAAAGAGTATATAAGCCAAGATTTTAAAAAGCCTGCTGCTAATGCCAAACTAATTCTGCTAAATCAAATGAAGAAAAGGTAATCACTAATTTCTGGACACATCTCTGGCGACAATGTTTTTCCTTAAGTCTCGACCCCTTTACTAGCATGTACTTGTACATATTCAAACTCTACACATGATTGGCATTAGGGAGTTTTTATTCAGATGGTATATATTAAGGTCAACACGGTGTGCCCAATTTACTCACTGCATCTGAAACAGTAGTTTTCCCTCGAAAATGCAAGTAAAATCCTCACCTGTTGAGTCCTGAAAATGACTTTTTTTCAGCTGGCAGGACTCTCAAGTATTTCAGTAGTGTATGCAGCACATTGAGGAAAGAAAAGCAAAGCAAATAAAAACAACCCCCATTGTCTTTATTTAATTAGACATTTTACAGTAGTCACTCTTACAGTAGCTGCCTTGTTTTTCTTTTTCCCCATTGTTTCAAATATTCTATCACATGGATCAATGCAAAGGAAGAAATATATATATTTATATATGAACACCCAAAACAGGAAATTTTGGCAAGATATTATAATAACATGATTTCAGCCCTGTGCATTCAACAGGGTGAATGTTTGGTTCATACATGGCAATTCAGTTTCGTGGGCTATAAATCTGCAAAAAAAACATGGTCGGATGAAAGATGAACCGAGTTGAAAACCTATTCAAGTACTTCAACTTGAATTCTTCGTGCCGATTCCAGAAAACCTGCAACCTGATGATCAACAACTCAGTGTTTGATATGTAACTATAAACTGCGCACAGGTATTTCCCAATGTGCAAGAACGTCTTTTAAATGCAAACCGCACTGAACATGAAATCTAAAAACAACAACATAAAAAAAAACATTGCAACTACATTGTCGAGGTCACTTTTAAGGGATGCTGTTTGTCTACTGCCATCAAACGCTTTAAACTGCCATGTATTGGACCCAATACTGAATATAAGTGTGCAAGGAATACAGTCAGTGAAAGGTGTCAACATGCATGGTATTCTGGAAGGAAGCAGCTGCAGAGCTCAGCGAAAGATTGGAGAAAAGTAGTTTTGGAGGGTCCCTGGTAAGAGCTCGTTCAATAGTTCAACAGAGAAGATGGAAGTGATGACGGCGACATCAGTCCAGAACACGAGTCACGACTGTTCAAGACCCTTCCTGCTCAAAGCTGCTTGTTCAGAGAAAAACAACTGTTAACAAAAAACAGGTGAGAAGCGTCTCAGACGTAAGAATGCGAATGCAGAATGTGTGTGGTTAGTCTTTTGAGTGATAACACTGAATACGGACGGAAACACCAATCGTTTCATTCTCGAATACGTTTTCAAACTAATTGGCCACAGAGCATTTTTCCTCACCGTTCCCTAACAGAGAGACTTTTCTCCATTGCTGATGGGAGGCATATTTGGGTTCAAACCGTGCCGGGTTTAAAGGTGAGCAGCTGTAATGTCCTGACTGAACGACAGCAAACCAATCCAAGCCATATGTGATCAGCACTAGCCGAACCTCACGCAGTTCAATCCTCACATTCAGTGAAAACCTTCCCAGACTTGCAGGAATCTACAGCAGCATTATATAAGACAGAGCTGAGCACAGCGTGACAGCACAGGTACAGACAGCAGCTCAGAGCAGCTACTCAAGCCTAGCGAATTCTGCGAGGCTTCCAGAAGTGTGCCGCTGGTGCTGAGATCCGTGTCCTTCAGGACGAGAGCAGAAATGAAGAGGGGAAGGACTGAGGACGGTCAGTGTATGGCACAAGGTCAAGGCCGTGAGTGAGTGAAGAGAAGGGAACACCGAGCACATCATCAGAGGCCATTGCCCAACCCTTATCACTGTTCACACACACTGATCCATCACGATGAGCGAGTCTCAAGAAACACGTAAAACACGTCTGGGACAAGTCACCCCAAAACCAAAGCCAAGCCTGATTTTAGGACGAATTAAGCACTTTTCCTCCTGATTCTGAACCTCATGACAATCACCTCTGACAACAGCGAGGACTCAAATCTGATGTCAAATGTTGTTGAAGATTACTGTTTTTATAGTCATAAGGACTTGGGGGTTAAATGTGCCTACCGGGAATGAAATCATGTCATAATGCAGAAAAAGTCTTAATGGTCCCAAAGTGGCCTTTATTTTATTTATGCTAAAAAAGACCAAACAACTCAAATCTGTTTTGATTCGGGGGTGAACCCTTCTCCTGACTAGCATGGCTGTGTTTGAGATGACCTCCCCACAGTAGCATACATTCGGCATCGTCTTGCACGCAGTGTTCAGTGCTGGGGTCAGGAGGGGTCATTTACAGCAAACTACTAATCTGTACACACACTCATTACTGGTACGGGATATCTATGTGGAACTGATGTCTCCATTCACAAATGGATGATCCGGAAAAAAAAAAAGAACAGAACAAAAAACAGCCAAGTGTCTGTGATTTAGAAATGCTGTTTCCTCTGATGCTGTGCTGCAAGTCTCTTGCGGTAGTGTTGTTGTGGGCAGGAGTTTAGCTGTTCTTGAGCAGAAGTCTGTCTTCGGCCGAGGGGAAGCAGTGCAGCTGGCAGACGTCTGGAGCAAGCAGGCCGCAGGAGCGCAGGTCCACACTCTGCAGCGAGGCACAGCGGCGCAGCAGCGGCAGACACTGCTCCGTCACCTTCACGCAGCCTGAAACACAGCGCCACATTTCACACAAACTAGTTCAGCTCAGGCCACCTTCCTCCTGAGCTCTGGCCTGACTCCTCACCTTCCCAGTCAAACTAGTGTACTTTTCTCAGTGATAATGTAGCATTAAACCTATGAAAAAGCACATGGCTCCGGAGTGCCGACACAAGTTTTTTGGCAGTGCGTCACATGCGGACGATGACATGAAGCACCCCGAGGTGGACTACATTAATAACAGCTGGAAGTTCATATGCTGCTTCACAGTGAAGTCTCAGAATAATCGGGGCACTCATTCGCTGCCTTTGGGGAGTATTTTAACTCTCCCGACAGTCTTTGCTATACAATGCAAACGCATCTTTTCAGGTTTGGCAGTGATCAAAACTAGTCATTTCTAGAGAACTGCTTAAGCTTATGGCTGTTGTTCAATTCAATTCAATTCAAGTTTATTTGTATAGCGCTTTTACGATACAAATCGTTGCAAAGCAATATTTAGTGGTAGTTTATCAGTGGTGACTGTTAGTTAATGTACATATGGCAGAAATGTACGGAAAATCAATTAAAGATGTAATCAAACAGACGATGAACACTATTAACAGCAATTATTATATGATGCAATCAAACTTATAGCAAAATGTGGTAGTTCTGTATGTTGTTGTGGCCACCAGCGGCAGCACATCTAGAGCTCATTCTCATTTTTGGCAGTTCTTGTTTGATTAATTCAGTAGTTCTGTTGACTTCACATTAGCATGGGCTCCTATGGAGACTGTAAGAGGACAAGAGTTCAACTGAGCTTAAAGTCAGTCACGGTGAAAGATGTTACTTGAACAGACCAGGCTAGTAAGTGAACTTATTCCAAAAGTCTCATGTTAATATGTACAAAGTCCTGCATCAAATTATTTTTTTGAAAACTGTGTATTTTAAGGTTTATCCCACAGAAATGACTTCTCATCATACGCACCCATTTTGGGTTTTGCAGTCTGCACTAGTGAGCCGATGCAAAAATCTCAAAGTTTTGCATGTTACCATGTTATTACCATGCTACTACATTTACCACTGTTTTTCTTAAAACAAAACAAAAACTACACTTTCTAACTATATTTGAATATACCATTGCTAGTATTAACTCCATTGAAATGAATGGATTTAATTACATTACTTTTAACTCATGACTGCTGTTAATTTATGAAACCTACATATTCTTTTTCCAACAAAACATCAACATTACGCTGGAATTCTAAAACTAAAAATATTCATTTTACTTGCGTCAACTTTCACTCTTAAGATGGAAGGGGAAAAATCTGTTTCTTGTTGCAATGGCTGATCAGTACGTTGCAACAGAGTCACATGTGCTCTAAACCAGTGCTTGTTCATGCAGTTTATCATTTTTCTGTGCGCAGTGTGTTTGTGTGTGCACATTCATGTCAGTTATCAAAATGTAGTCCCACAACTGGTGAGAAATGTGTCAAACATATGTAACCTCTGTGCCGTGAGTATCTTTGAGACACATCTAACCGATAGATAAATCAAATGTCTGCAGAACATCATGTGTAAAGCCTTCAATCGATGGCACTACTGAAAGGCAGTTGTTAATGAAGCACGCTAATGAGCGTTGCTGCTGCAGCGTGAGTGTGTACCTGCCAGGCTGACGTGCGTGAGGCTCTCTCTCAGCGGGGATAGGGCAGAGGTCAGCGTGTGGATGCTCTGGTCTGTGATGTGGCAGCACTGACTGAGGTCCAGCTTGCTCAGGTGAGGAAGATAGCGCACTAGCAGGCGCGACACGGCGTCAGTCACCTCCAGGCCCGCCAGACGCAGCTCCGTCACGTTCTGGAATCGCCCGCCGCGGTTCTCTCCGTGAGCTGCAGTGAAGAACAGTGGGTTATGCTGAGCATCTAAATCATGCGTCTTTAACACATTCAGTACTCTCAATACTGCCCTGACTTGAGTCTACATACACAACTACTTTTTTCATTTTCCCATTGCAGTGTTTCAACGTGTAGCTTTTGAGCTCTGATTAAAGATATGCAACTATAAAGGAAGCAGCCAACATAACCAATATGAAGACTGGACAGACAGACAGACAGACAGGCCCTTTCACTCATTTCCCAGTTTCAAACAAAAAATACTCTGCTTACACTTTATTTCAGAGTGTCTATGTTACGGTATTATTATATTAATGAAGCACCCCTGAGGGGTTTTATAATTCTGTGATAACAACTGACTGGATGTACATTACCCTGCTTATTACACAGCTACGACCAAACACTGGAAGTCTCTACTGCGAAAGGATGCAAACAGCAGAACTCAATGACCTTTAAAAGGGACCCCAAAAACACAAGAAACTAAAGGAAGACAGTTGTAGAATACTTGTAACATTGACCAAACTAAAACTACTGACTAAACATGAAAACCCAGTGTCTCCTGAACGTCAAAACACTTCAGTTTTAATGCTAACACCCAAAACATTTTTTTGCACAATACCATCTTCAAAACGTTGTACTGCACCATCTGCTGAGACAGGTGAGAAGTGCTGGAGGACTCGGGTCATGCTGGAAGCTGAGGTGCTTTTAATGAGATGAACTACAACACAGTAATCTCTTCACTGGTCCATCAACTAATAAATTAGTCAAGTATCCATGTCCATTTAAATCCAAACTACGCTCACACAACCAGGGTGCTTCCTCACTTTGCCCTGACACATACAAGTTAATAAACATGCACGTCTTCATCTGTGGCCGTCATGAAAACTATTGATGAATCCCTTCAGTCAACTCATGCATGATAAAGTGGTGTTCATTTATGACATTTTTACAAGTAATCTTTCTGTGTGTGAGTGTGTGTGTGTATGTGAGAGTGAGAGAGTGAGTGAGTGAGTGAGTGTCTCTGTGTGTGTGAGAGAGAGTGAGTGTCTCTGTGTGTGTGAGAGAGAGTGAGTGTCTCTGTGTGTGTGGGAGAGAGTGTGAGTGTCTCTGTGTGTGTGTGAGAGAGAGTGAGTGTCTCTGTGTGTGTGTGAGAGAGAGTGAGTGTCTCTGTGTGTGTGTG